TACACATGATTTTCAGGATGAATTTTAAGAAAACATTCTCTCCGTTTAAAAATAAATAATTTTTAACTTACACATTCGAGGTGGTAGAGTATAGTACGTATACGGCGCGTACACCGACGGCGGCGGCGGCGGTGCGTACACCGACGACGGCGGTGCGTACATCCACATGGACAACGGTAGTGGCGGCGGTGCGTACGCCAACGGCGCACGTTTTTTCGCCATACGCCGGTCCTTATTTAGCGCCCGCCGTACGGCTTCGTTGACACGCTGAAACATATAATATAAATTATAAATATGCAATGCGAACGTACAAAAATGCACGCGCGCGCACACACATATACACACAAAAATACACATACACACACACACAACGAGCATCAAACATTGCATCTATGTTGCAATTTCTCATTGATTGTTGAGTGAGACATTGTAACATAGATGCAATGTAATGCTCCGTGCTCATATGTATATATGTATACATACGCAACAAATGTTTAAAATGTATACCTTACCTTGTTAAAAATGTTGCTCTCGCGCAAAATCGAGCGCTCTGCCGGGACTGGAACCGGAGCCGGGGCCGTGGTTGGGACTGGTGCCTGGGCCCCAGGGACTAGTGCCGGGGCCGGGGCCGTGGCTGCGACTGGTGCCCGGGCTGGGACTGGTGCCGAGGCCGGGACCGGAGCCGTGGCCGTGGTCGTGGCCAGGGCTGGGGCCGCGGCCGGGGCTGATGCGGCTGGCGGAGTCGGCGGCTGAACCACGGTTGAAATCCGCGGTATACGCGGTATACGCGGCAACCGTGTGCCTTTTTCGGGCACACTGCCCTCACTTTTTGCTGAAAAATAAAATAGAATAGAACGACGAAAAAAGGAGAGAAAGAGAAGAAAAGCGAGCATACGCGAGAGAGAAATTAAGAATATTATTGTAAACGTACGTCTGCCCATTGCTGCTGCAGGAACTTCAACTAATAAGGCTGCGTTCATAAACATCACCCGAGTGTTCCAACATATCATTCTATCCTTGTTTAACGTTCGATAAACAACAAGGATAAAATAATGGAGCGCTCGGGTGACGTTTCCGAACGCAGCCTAAGAGCAAACACTTGATTGGCTTCTGTCTTCCTCGGTCGAAAAACGCGGAAGACTTCGATAAACAATAACAGAGACTCTCATCGCAGCTCGGACTCGAGCGTCCGTTACGGCCTATGAGCATAGAAAGACTGAGATTTGAGATTTGTTTATAATGGTATGATTGTAAACGCGGTTTATGCGAAAATTAGGTTATAGTAATACACACACAAAAAGAAAGCTG